GGGGGTCCCCAGTAGTGCCCACAAGTTGTGTTGGCCAGAGCTTGAATGGCACTCCCATACTCACAGGGAGCCTGAGGGTGGGGGGTGCTCTCCACAGTCCTGAACCCACGTCTCTCGGTAAGACTCAGGCTATCATGGGACAGGAGACAGAGGATGTGCTTCAGACCCAGGGTCAGACAATCCTTTCTGGGTCTCATGGAATGAGTTCAGAAAGGAAGAAATGAAGGAGCGAATCAGGGCAGACAGAGCATAGAAAGGCTATCAGGTGGGCTGGCTAGGTTGAGAGAGGTGAGCAGATGATCCACTGTAAAGAGGAAAGTGGGTGATGCAGCAGGAATAAATATGCAACATGGCCCTTAAAGGCAGCTCGTAGGGCCCAGTAGCCACTGTCCTCAACTCACCCACACAGTTCTTGCCGTCAGGGCTGAGCTCGAAGCCTGCATTGCAGACACACTGGAAGGTGCCTTCTGTGTTGATGCAACGGCCATGGCGGCAGAGGCCATTGCTGATAAAGCACTCATCCACATCTGTGGAGAGGGAGGTGGGCAGTCAGCAGGTCCCTCCGAGACTAATTCAAAACACAGATGCGGGCTCCACATGGCTGGCCCCCACATCGCTCCCACTCTCAGATGTATGGTCGTACCCACGCATGCCTGCTTGGTGAGTGTGGCCTGGAAACCCTCATGGCACCGGCACTGATAGGAGCCGGGGGTGTTGACGCAGTGTCCGTGGTGGCAGACGCTGCTGGAGCATTCGTCCACGTCTGTGGGCACAGGATCCTGAGCCCCAGCCCGGCAGGGTGCGCCCCCCACCCAACCCGGCTGCTGCTCACCGATGCACTCCCCTCGGACGTCCTGCTTATAGCCCACGTTACACTCGCAGCGGTAGCTGGAAGGGGTGGGCAGGCAGCGGCCATTGAGACACAGGTTGGTGAAGTGTCGGCAGATATCAATGGTCTGGTTCAGGGTGGCTGTGCCTGCGACACAGACAAGGGCATTTGAGCGTGGGCTGGCCCCCGGCCCCAAGTCTGGGCCTTGCGTCTGGGTTCAGACAGCCACTCTGAGGCTGGGGCCTTGCCCTCTATGCCCAGGCTCTCTCACTTTAACCCAGAGTCCTGCTCTAGATTCAGACTCCCACCCTGGCTGAGACCATCCCCATCCCACCCCAAGCCCAGACCTTCACCATGAAGCGAGTCTCCCACCTCAGCCCTAAGCCCCTACCCAAGGCCCAAACACTGACTCAAACTGACTTTGAGACCCAGATCCCCAATCTCCCCCACTCCTAGCCCGCTGTACTTTCATCCCTACTGCCCAAGCCAGGACCCCAAGCCAAAGTCCTAACCCTCTCTCTGAGGCCTGAGCCCCTCCCCCAGGTCTTGGACCCCTCCTCCCAAGTCCCAGGCCTCACCGATGCTGGCGTCACCCAAGCCCAGGCTGGGAATTCCACGCCCAATGGAGCCGTGGGAGCTGTGCCGTGCCGGCCCAAGGCCAGGACCCATGCCGCCGCTGGATCCAAAGCCAGGAAGGCCAGGGAAAGGGCCGGGGTAGGAGGGCAGCAGAGGGAACCCCTGGGCACACAGTCGTTGGAACTCATCTGTGAGGAAGCAGGCTTTGAGGCGGAGCTCTGCGGGCAGAGGAGGGCGGGAGACAGCCCCCAGGCCACTCACCAGAGCCCGGAGGAGGACACAGCTTGGGGACCGGGCCAGCTGCCCAGCACCTGCCCTTGTCGCAGCAGCACTGCCTGTGAGTGTAGTGGCCGACGAGGTCTCTGGCACAGCGGCCCACAATGAGAACCGAAAAGCAAGTGCCAGCCCGGTGGTCTGCAATGGGAGTGGGCGGCTCAGTTCCCAAACCCACGTTCAAATTCCAGCTCCACCAACACTGCCTGCGGGACTGGTCTCCTTGCCTGTCTGCACCTCAGTTTCCCCATCCATGGAACGGGNAAAAAAAAATCTTACATCAACACCAACAGTCTCCAAGAAGTCATGGATCTGATCCTCTGTTACACAATGTTTGATTCTGGTATGTGTTAAAATAATGGCATAATTGTAACAGGTAGGCTTGTATCCCCCCAGAAGATATGTTCAAGTCCTAACTTTCGGAACCTGAGAATGGGACCTTACTTGGAAATAGGGTCTTTGTAAAAGTGCCCAAGTTAAGATGAGATCATCCTGAATGACAGTGGGCCCTAATCTAATGACAGGTGTCCTTTAAAAAGAGGGAACTTTGGAGACAGACAGAGGAGAACACCATGTGATGATGGACACAGAGATTGGAGTGATGCATTTACAAGCCAGGGACACCAAGGATTCATGGTCACCACCAGAAGCCAGGAGAAAGGCATGGGACAGATTCTCCCTCTGAGATGCTAAGAAGGAACAACCCCGCTGACACCTTGATTTCAGTCTTCTGGCCTCCAAAACTGTTGTTCTAGAGAAAGAATAAATTTTGGTAGTTCTGAGCTACCAGTTCTGTGGTAATTGGTTATGGCAGCATAGGGAGCTAAAACAACGATTGTTGAAATGCTGACATGTTGGTCCTTCTTATCACTGAAAAGCATCAGGCTTGTATGCTTTGGGAAGGCTGCTGTGGGCACTCCAGGGCTCTCCCACTGAGTTGTTGTTAAGGGGAGCCCCAGGGCCACTCGACTGGGTCCTGTTCCTGCTTGAACACGAACCCCACCAGTGGAGACCTCTAAGAATGAGTTCTGGCGTGCTCTGCTCTGAGGGACGAGGCAGACCCCACGACCCCTGAGCTGGCCCCTCAGAGCCCTCCCCCTGTGCCGCTGACCGCCAGCTCACCGGAGCAGCCCGTAGCCCCCTTCCTGACGACGTAACCCAGCTGGCAGTGGCAGACAAAGGAACCCTTTGTGTTCTCACAGTCCCCATGGAGGCAGATGTGCGGGTTCAGGTCACACTCATTCACGTCTGCGGTATGACAGGAAAGGAAGTAGGCGAGGGTGGAGGGGATACACCAGCACTGCTGAGTGCCCTGCCATGTGGGTCCTCTGTGTTCTCTGTCTGTCTCCGGGCGGGGGGCCTCCCTCTGGTACCACCATCAAGCAGCTGTGAGTGTCATGTCAGCGTTTTACAGCACATATTGGGCATGCTTTCCAAAAAGGATTTTATGGCCACATACATTTAGAGACCACTGAGTTAAAAAAAGCTAACCAGATTTGCTCCTGCAGGCCTTTTCAGAGCCTTTATGCCAATGTGGGTCTGCAAAATGGGTATGAAATAGGCAGCATTCCCTAAATTTCTTTGGTCCCAAGGCCCTTTTCTTAAGTGCTTCCCAAAGACTCCTGGGATCTGGAACTCTTTAAGCTGCACTGGGCTGGGCACCTCTTCTTGGAAGGGAATTACATTTTGACTTCCTGGAAATTCCCCATTTGGCCCTCAGCTCTGTCCTCAGGGGACACCCAGTAACACCGCTTGCTCCCCAGGCCTAGTGATGACCTACAGCCAGGAGAGGATGGTGATCACAGCACAAACAGCCCAGGTCCCCACACAGAGCTCAGAGAACACAGTTCTGAGTGACTTTCCACCTGGCTCACCATCTTTTGCATAACCCCCTGGTCAGCAGCGATCATAAAGTACGGCCCAGGGCATGAGCCTCTGTCATGCATTGGGTACAGTGTTCACCAAACGTACTTTTAAGGAGCAAGGTTCAGGGGGTTCTGCTGCTGTAAATGACATCCCATGGGCTTTGGCGTGGGCTCAAGGTACTGGGGTCACAAGCAGACTGCCTAGCACTGCTGCAAAGCCTGCTCTCCCTTGCCTGCATGTGACAGGAATGGGACCTGCTCTGCCTCGCCCACTTCGCAGTCCCAGCTCCTTACCAATACATGTCCTCATGTCCAGGGTGGCCATGAAGCCGTCATAGCACAAACAATGGTGACCTCCTGGCACATTGGTGCACTGGCCGCCATCACAGATGTCCAGGTCCTCTTCACACTCATCCACGTCTGGGGGAGCAGGATAGGGGCCAAGCTGCAGGCAGGCAGGGATGAAGCGGGGAGGGGGGGCGGGGGGGGCCCAGAGACCCTCCCACGGGGTCAGTGGCCTGTTCCATGTCTGGCTGGCTTTGCCTGGGCCGGGCCAGGGTGGCTGCCCCGTGGGAGTGGGAGGGGGCTGTGCCCACCCACCTGCACAAGCCCTCCCGTCTGGCATCAGCGAGTAGCCGTGTCCACAGCCGCACCGGTAGCTGCCCTCAGTGTTAACACAGTGCGCCTCACACCCACCGTTCCCAGTGAGGCATTCGTTGGTGTCTGCAGTGGGCAGGGCAGAGAGCGAGGGGCAGGGCTGGGGGACAGGGTCAAGCATGGGGCTAATTTGAGAGCTGGAGCTGAGGTCAGAAAGTTGAGGTTGGGGCCAGGGGCTGGTGGGGTGATGCCCACATGCGGCAGATGGGCACAGTCTCACCCACGCAGCCCTGGCGGTCAGGTGTGCTCTGGAAGCCGGTGTGGCAGGAGCACTGGAAGGCGCCAATGACATTGACACACTGGCCGTGGGGACACAGGCCATCACTCAGGGAGCACTCGTCGATGTCTGTGAGGACAGTACATGGCTGACTGGGACCCAGTGTGCATAGATGGGTGACAGAGCCCAGCAAAGAGCGATGGCTTGTGCCCCTCGGCCATCTGCACAGCCCTGAGACACTCGGACACACATGCACAATGATGTGTTCATGCTACGGGCACCCACACACCCCTACCGGTGCGAGTCCACACACAAACACACCCTCGCCCTTATACAAATATACCCACACCCAGATACACACTCACATCCTCTTACACATTCACAAGACATACAAACATATCCTCGCACATTTACACACTCACCCTAGGCAGACACACATGCACACCCAGACAAACACCCACTTGCATATTCACATAGGCTCACACACAAACACACCCACTCACATGCAAACACAATCGCCCTCAGTAGACACACACATTCACAACCAGATACACACTCACACACTCACAAACATAGCTCACACCCACTCTTGGCAAACATACTCGCCCTTGTGTAAATACACACCCAGATATACATACTCCCATGCACTAATGTAGACTCAAAACCCTTGCATGCACTCACATGAAAACACTCACCCTCGACAGCATACATCCACATTATCTTGCACACTCTTGCACCCACTCACACGAGAATAGTCACCTGCAAAGAGTCACTTGTATAAACACATTCACAGATACACACTCACGCATTTGTGTTCACACACACACACACACACACACACACACACACACAGAAATACGTACTCTCTCTATCTCACACACATGCAGTTACACTTCACACAGACACACAATGACTCATACTTGTACACTTGCTTTTCCACTTTCACATTCAGACACACACAAATACACATCCCTACTGTCTTATGCATGCAACTACTTACAGAGACACACTGACACACACGTGCCCACTCACACATAGAAACGCACTGATACATGCTCACTCACACAGAGGCGCACTGACAGACACGTGCACACTCACAGAGGGAGACACATTGACACACGTGCGCACTCACAGGCTCACTGACACGTGCACACTCACAGACGCACTGACAGACACATGCATACAGAGATGTACTGATACACACTCACACATAAGTACCCATTCAGAGAGATACACACATATACACTCCCACTATCTATCTCACTCTCACCATTCACACTGGCTCCCCCACTCACACAGCTGCTTGCATGCTCACCCTCACAGGCAGTGCCCTTGGCCGTCAGTGCATGTCCGGGGGGACAGTGACATGTGTAGCTCCCATCCGTGTTGGTGCAGGTGCCTCCCCGACACAGCAATGGGTCCCGTGCACACTCATCCACGTCTGGGTGTGTGGAAGGAGAGAGTAGGTGTGAAGATGCGGACACAAGAGGGCATTATGTGGCTCTTGAAGCTTATTCCTGTGACCTCCCAGCCCCAGCACCCCAGTCGAAGCCAGGAAAGCCTGGAGGTTTGGGGCACTGA